TTCATCACACAAGTTTGTCTCTTGGACAACTTTCTCTTCACATTACCCTCTGGCTGGCTTTATATATTTCTTTATTTGTAATTTTCTCAATGTGACCTCAGGTACCTGCCTAGTGTTTCTGAAAGGATCTTAGTTAGCTTGAGAAGAAACATGTGTCCCCTGTGCTTTGGAAATTGGAGGAGATGGAGTCCAGTATTAGGATACACAAGAATTCAGAAGCAATCAGGCAGTACTTAACAGCAAAAGCCTTGAAGGCAAAGGAGAAGCCAGAGTCTGAGGCAGGTGAGCTGAGTAAGCAAGAGAGACGGCTGAGAAGAGAAAGGGGTACAATGGCCGGGGCCAAGCTAACCACAAGTGGGTCCCACATTGTGAGGCAGGCAGTTAGACATTAGTGGGCCTGAGGGACAAGTGTGTGTGTGTGTGTGTGTGTGTGTGTGTGTGTGTGTGTGTGCAAAAAGCAGGCACTGAAGGTGAGTAAAGAAACAGAGACATCAATGTGTAACACACTTATAATCACTTTTTAGGTTTTGGACCCAAAGAGACCCCACAGAACACCTGGCTGTGCAGATCCAAAACAGGGAAAACTGCATTTCTGGCTCCCATAACCTACAGCTCAATGATATCAGGAAAGAAAAAGTTCTTCAAAGACCCTCCTGCCTTGGGCTAAGCCTGTTTAAATGAAGAACTTCTCGTTGTAAGTTTTTTTTTTTAAACATGATTAAAGTCCCTGAGGAAACACTGCCCATCTACAAAGGACAGGAGGACATTTTATAATTCCAAAGTAACAGCTAAGTAAAATGTTTATAAGCATGGTAATGATCCTAATTATCTGAACCCAGGAATAACTTATGAGAACATAAAACGCTAGTTGAGCTCACACTAGATGTATATATCTTCACGGGACCGTCCACCTTCTCACTTAAAATTGTAACTCTCTATATCCAGTGAACAAGAAATTCTGCCTATATCTCTTCATGGCCCCCTATGTATCTTGATTGAAGTCTTTCACCAAGAGCCCCAAGAACCCAGGACCAAGGAAGTAAGGAGCCTGTTCTTGCTGCATCAGGGTCCAACTTCCAGGTGACAACATGGCTTATGAAAACTGCAATACCTTGTCACTAAAATCTGAGTGATATCATTCACAGGACACATTGAACAAAAGGAGAACCAAGGGACCCTGTAGAATGGTTATCAGTGATGCCCTTACCAAGACCCAGAGGTAAAACCAAATGAGTTTTGGAATCATTTCCAGGTCAAAGAATCTATGACAAAAAAGCTTCATACAGATTGGCTTTATGCATTAGTAAATTAACTCCACCTCACTTAGGACAGCTCTGGAGAAGCCAAGGGGATCCTGTCAGTCTGAATTCAAGCAATACAGGCCTAACTAGTCTAACAGCTGCAGATTTGGGAGTCAGCTGTGCTAATGTTTGGGGTTCAGATTTAGAGTGAACAGAGAGGATTGGCAGCCTTCCTCAGAGGAACCTTGAGCACTGTGCAGTAAGATGAGCATATTCTTGTTTGGAAGGTCATTTTAAATAGTATCTATTTCCTGTAGCTTTTTCCCTTCTTCAAAGCTTGAGCCCCCCGCTCCAGCCTTAAATCAAATATTATTATATCCCCCAAATCCCCTTCCAATTTCTCTTCTCATGTGTATTTTTTCATGTGCACTGTTTCCCATTTTAAAAATTGCTGCCCCTATCAGGTTCATCTGTGTGTTCATTTTAGTAAAAGGGAAATACTTCTTCCTTCTATCTGAACTCAAGCAGTAGCACTGAGAAAGATATAAGTGGAGGTTTTATCCAGTACTAGGCAGAGGCTTTCTACCTAGAAACGGCTTTGAATGTAGAAGTCTTATTTACAGACAGCACAACAAGCCTCACAGCAACAGAAGAAGGACGTTTTGTTTCAAAATTGTGGCAACTTGGGAACTTACAAATCAGGTCTTCCCATCAGATGGGATTCCTATTTAGCATTTATTCTTGGAAACTTATTTGATACAAGTGAGCAGAAAATATGACTTTTTAATAGTAGTTAGGCTTGATTCTTCTAACAATTTGTTGAAAACCACATTAACTCGTAAAGGAGCAAAATCGTGGTGGAGAGCTCTTGGAATTCTTTGGATGAGACATTCTACCTGGGCAAGTTTTCTAGATCACTAATTCCTAAATTTTTCTAAGTTTCTTGCCTTACTAATTTTTATTGAGTGATTAGGGAAATGTTGATCAGGAATGTGTTAAACACATTTATCTTCATTTACATCCCTTCACCTCTGGGGCTGCAGAGGGGCTGAGAGCTGAGCAGGGCCCAGGCTTCTACATCATACATCTCGATGTAGGATGCTTTGTCTTTATTTTTGGGATCTCTCAGGATTTATTTCTGGCTGCATCCTTGTTTTTAACTCTTCTCTAGCCACTCTATTGACATATTCTAACAGGACACAAAAAAACCAAGTTTCTTAATAGTATAGTTATGAACAAAGCTACTGTTTGTGTTTTTTGTTTGTTTGTTTGTTTTGTAATAGTGGGAATTGAACCCAGGGCCTCAGCACTAAGCCTCAGTATTTTTTTTTTTTTAGATGGGGTCTGGCTAAATCACTAAGTCACCCAGGCTAGAAAAGAAGTTGTGACCCTCCTGCCTCAGCCTCCCAGACTACTGAGATCACCCGTTTTACACCAGCACAGCCCAGATAAAGCTACCATTTTTTGAAGCCCAATGCTAGGTTAGACCTGTGGAAATAAATGGGGTTTTTTCAATCCTTGCACAACTGTATGAATTAGGCAATATACCCAGACAGGAAACGGGCTCAGAGAGTCGGTGTAAGGTTTCCCATCACGTGGAAGGGAGGTAGCACCTCCAGGGCTGAGGCTCTTTGGCCCACCTGCCACTTCCCCTACCCCAGGCACTGGCAGGGCCTCCCACCCTTTGCAGGCGCTGCCACAGAGGAAGGGATGGCACTGAGTTCGCCAATTTTGTCCAACTCCTGGGTCAGTGGAAAAGATGCACAAAAGCTTCTAGTAAAATGTGAACACCTGTACACATGTGGCACTTTCTCTGAGGAGGGGCAGCTAAAAGGCCAGTAATGGTGAGACTCACGTGACGTTTGAGTGAGCGAGTGGAATGCAGACGGGGCTACCCTGTACTGTGGAAGCCAAGGTACATTGTCCGGCCAGCGACCCCCGAACCCCTCCCCTTGGCCCTGTCCCCACCCCCTAACCGCCCACACCCACACCCTACGTCCAGCCTGGCCCAGAAGTGTACAGGTCAGATTGTGGAAAGGGTTCCCAACAACATTCAACACAGGGTGTCCTGATTTTATTGGAAAACGAGTACAGTCTTTCCATGGAAGATACACATTGTACGGGAATTAGGTTTTAAAATACAAAAATACTTCGCATCTGTGCAGGATTATACAAACGAGATTTTACTGTTAACAGTAAAAACATAATGTATCAAAAATGTCATTTTTTAAATGGCTCAATATTTTTCCCTGTATTGCAAGTAAAAAAATTTTAAAGGTAGGAGAGGAAATATAACTTCTGCTAAGCCAGTTTAACCACTGGTAATTAAATACTTCGTTGCATTTGCAAACCCTTCTTCAACTCTTAGGCTGTCTTTTTGGAAAATACCATCAGAAAGTGCAATATAAAATCCAATTAATGGGAAAAGCATGAAAGGAAGATCTTTTAAAAGGAAGTTTTATTTCTGCTTTTGTTTTTGAGGGATGATAACTCGAAGGAAGTTCACAGACTGGAAATGGAGCGTCATCCTCAGGAATCCCCGGATGCTGAACGACACTGTACTTCCTGCTTAAGATCCTTTACCCAGGCTGATCTCTTGATTCTTGTCCTCGCCTAATCCCCAGATGCCAGGCTCTCAGAATTCTTGGCTGGCCCCATGTCCCTGTACTCTCTGGCCAATTCCGTCCCTAGTTCTAAGCTTCAGTATTGGCATGGCAGCTTGGCACCATGCATACCCGTGTGTACTCCAGATGCCAGACCAAGCACCATGGGCAAAATCAAGCTTCTGGAGCATCTCACAGTCCGCTGGGGTCATGACACTCCCTAGTCCCTCTAGACTTCGGGGTGGTACCTATGTGCTGCCAAATGACAATGGGGCCTTGGTTCCAACAGCAGCTCCCAAGCCACTGTATTCCTCAGTGCTATGAGCTGGGACCAGAAGAAGACAGGCAGGAAAGGGACTCTGACGACTTTGGAGAGGAGGGGAAATGTCCTTCCAAATAAATGTGTGAACCACAACATAAAATATTACAAATGTAGAAAACAAGGCTGTCCCCATTCATACAACTTCTAAAACTGCATGAGTCCTCTGACTTCAAGTTCATGTGACTAGAGTTGCTCTGGTGTTCCTCAGGACAGTCATCAATTTTAAAAAAATAATGTATTTCTACACCCCAAATCCCAATTTGCTTTTAATTTTAATTGACTAAGAAATAGTTATCTTTGGGCCTTTAAGGGAAAGAATATATGAAAGTAAAAAGGGGTCTCACAAAATTTAAATATAATTTGCATAAATTCCAACATTGAAAAGTTTCAAATTTGTTTTTTTCCATAAAAACATTCCTGGGTTCTGATGCCTCCTGGAAAATGACCATTCCTTCTCAAATGAGCATTGAAGTGCAGAGAAGGGACAGTTAATGACAGGAAATCAAGTACTCAGCACTTGATGATTGGCCAGAGAGGAAGGCCCAAGTCCTTGGGCCAGCAGAACTGGGTTTTTTTGTTTGTTTGTTTGTTTGTTTAAACATAGGAGATATATCTTACAAAATTAAATACAATTATTAGAAAAATATTTTTAAACAATATGCCACTATAGAAATCTATGTCATATGTGCAAATTGTTTGTAGAAGGAAGTGAAGGGCAGAGAAAGGCCCCCACCTCCCCTGCTAGAGTGAGAGCCACTGGATAGTACTAGCCAGGGATAGGAGGGACAGAGGGCTGTCTCTGTCTCTGAGGGAAGCCTGCTGGGTCTACAGCATGGGAGTCAAAGTGCCCACATTTCAGCAAACTCCTGGTCAGCTGGAGCCCATGCAAGGGGGAATTCCATTCATCACACCAAGGGGTGTATGCAAAGCTCACCACCCAGCTGGAGCTCATGGGCAGGTTGGTGGGGGGAGCTGGTAAGGATGGGTTAGAGGAGCTGGGAGTGGGGTGATGCTGGAAAGGGGTGGGTGACACGGGTGGCTGACAGTCCGTCACTGGTGCCTCAGCTGAGTATCATGGGTTGTCCACAGGGATAAGGAGGCAAGAGTGTGGCACTTAGTGACACAGCAGAGGAAGGAAACCCCTGCAGAGCTGTCCTTGCATAGCAACAAGGAGCCAAGTGAAATGCAGAAGACGAAGAAAGGAAAGGCCTGTGTTGGCTCTGGGGAGGGGAGCAGGAAGAGGTGGAGGAGGTGGTCAGACCCAGCCACCACCACTTTCAGATCCTTTCTCTTCTGCAGAAAGTGGTGGTGATTTCATAACCCTGGGATCCTGGAGAATCCGCTTTTCACTGAAATGACAATTTTCACCACTGTGCATAAAATCTGGTCTTTAGAAACTAACTGCAGGCTGTGAACGGGTATGGGAAATGCAAAGCATGGAAAGTTCTCCAAGAACACATCTGTCTTCCTCCACGAGCTGAGAGTCACACTTCACTGACAGTGTGGCCCAGGACAGTGACCCAGGGCCAGTGACCCTGCACTATCCCCAGTGTGGCTGCAGATAACTGAATAAATCTGTGTGCAGAGGGCAGCCCTGCCCTGCACGCTTTTTCTTCCAGTTTGCCATCTTTTCAGCAACTTGGGCGCATGGAGAGGGCACAGGTCACCCTTCAGCAAGACCCACACCTCTGCTCTGAATCATACTGGGCTGTGACTGTCACTGAGTCCTGCATCCTCAACGATCTGATTCCAGGTGACCTGTGGACAAGGGACCAGGCAGGTCCATCGCGCGACCACCGAAGTCAGCAGGAGGTGCAGCCCATCCTGCAGCACCACAAGACAAGAGGCACCCAAAGAACTACTGGCCAGGCTGCTCCCAGCTATCCAACTGGCAAGTGAAGCTCCCTCTGCAGTGTCTCTGAAGAGCCCTGCCTCCTGGCTTGGGGCAGTAACTGCTGTTCAGATGCAAACGACAGTGGCAGGGCTGGCATATGGTACCTGATGTTCTTCCAGAACCTGGTCTTTGCAGACTGTGCTCCTTCTCTCAAGTCCCCTGACCATCGGATCACTCCATGTTTCTGCTTAATAAATCTAATGGACTCTGGCATTTTCTCATAGTCTTGGATTTTGTCCAGCTCAACCAGCACAACCTTAATTCCCTCTTTAATAAGGGCATTGTACATCACAATTTGCTCTTCAGAGGAGTGGCCCAGCCAGATGAAGCTTGCTATGTCTCTTACTAAAATGATGATCAGCCTTCTGCTTTGCCGTATAGTTTCATTAAAGACCTCAATAGTGTCTGGAAAACATGCAGAACAGAAATTATAATCAACTATTCCTAATCACTCTCTGGAAACAAACCTTACAAGCTTCTTTCCACCCCATCCCCTGATACTTTTTTTCTGCCTTGCTGTGGACCCTAAAGGACTTTGAGCTGTTATAGACCAGCCCAACAGCTGACCCACTTAGAACTTGGCAAACTTTCAGGGGAAATTTTTAAAACTTCTTGTTAAATCATCTGACTGTAACACTTCCATTTTTTGTACCAGCCGAAAAGTAGCTATGGAATCCACTCATCAAATTTTCCAAAACAAATAAAAATATGTTTAATTAATGATCTAACACTATAGAAGTGAATTCTCTGCATTTAATAATTCTGAAAATTATCATCAGAAATCACTGAAGAGATTGGTAAAGCTGAAAAATATGGGGAGCTTCAAGCCATCCCAAATTTAGCAATTAGTTTTAAAACAAGCTTCTTACTATCCTGTATCGCATACATACCTTCCCCAACATAATCATCCCTTCCATAAATGAACAGTTTATATCCAAATTGTTTTTCCAAAACCTCAGGCAAGATTTTAAATACAAAAATATCTGAGCTTGAGGTGAATCCTTCTGTGTGGCTCTTTGGATATAGTATATAAGCATCGTAGATCTTTCCATCTAAAGCTAAAGGGAAAATGTAATGTATTTAGAACCAAGAGGAAAATGAAAGATTATCAGCATCAATATCACAAACTTGCATGTCATACTGAACTATTATTAGTCATTTTTTGTACAATGGCATGATTGCAGAAACAATACCAAAATAATTTAATACCTTTTTAAAGTGTTCATCTCTTACAAGTTTTCTATTGATTATGTTTTCTATGAAGTTGCTCTTACATTGCATCTTATGGTGGCCACTTCACGTACAATCATTAAGAAAGTATCCTTATCTTCCTTTTCTTATCTTCTTCCCCAAACATCTCAACACCTAAGCCCTGAATTCTACCCATTCTTCTTTATTATGCATTACCATGATATTAGAGGTTTTGTTTCATTTTGTTTTTGCAGTACTGGGAATTAAACCCAGGGCTGAGCTATATCCCCACCCCTTTATATTTATGTATTTATTTTTATTTTGAGACAGGGTCTCACTAAATTGCCCAGGCTGGGCTCAAACTTATGATCCTCTTGCTTCAATCTTCTAGAGTACTGGGATTACAAGTGTGCATTACCACACCTGGCTTTTGCAAGATTTTAACAAAAGAGAAAGGAAAAGTCTTCCTGATGTATAGAAATCTAGTCATTTTTTTCATCTGAAAGTAGATCACAGGGTGATCTACACCCTACATACCACAGAGTTTGTCCTCAACAATGACTTCTGAGCATTTGTCTGTCCTGCCAATGTGGTGCTAAAGAAGTAATTTAGAAAGCAATGACATTAGCTTAACCATTTCTGAAACTATAATTATATCAAAGAAACCATAATTACATATAATAATAATTACTATTATTGTGCCTCTCACTATCAGTCATTTTAAACCTTCTGTAAAAACCTTAGTCATCTTCTACGTGTCCTAGCTATCCCCTCTCTCCAATAAGAAAATACTATAAAGAATACCAGATTATACCTTTTTGGGAGAGAAAATCATAGCAGGAACCTCTGTACCAAAGCACAATGTCAACCTTGAAGATTTTATAGATGAAAACTGAGCATGTGATTACAAGTGTCAGTGTGACGAATATTCCAATCATGTGCTTCTGGAAATCAGGGACTAGAAAAAGGGAAGAAAAAAAAGCAGAAAAGGGGAGAAACATGAGAACTGAAATGAATTAAAACTTTGAGCATAGAAAATTGAACATTTTCATTGCAGAAAAAGCATATTTGGGGTCAGTCTTGCATTCACAATATCGATTCATTCATTATTATGGCTAATAATGGATACCAATGTAAACAGCAATCGAGCATGGACACTATATAAAACTAAGGTGCATTCTGTTGTTTCCCTCTAAATAGCATAGTATACAAAAACAGTAAAAATGCTGAAGACCATAGATCAGAGCCCTCCATCACTTAACAGGAAGTCAAAATCACTCAAAAGCTACAAGCATTCCCTGAAACAGGAGGTTACTTAGAAAAATCCAAAACATGGAAGAAAAAAGCAGGGGTAAGAGAATCTTCTACATGTTCCTGGCACATCTTTCCAATCATTTATCAAATGATCACAGAAGAGAAGCGAAGGTGGATAAGGGGGAGGAGGCTGCAGAGGAACCAAAAAGAGGAAGAAGAAGACTTTCTCAAAGTCAGGGCCCATGCCGGCATCCAGAAAGAAGAATCTAAAAGCTTTATCATTTTATTTTTCCCATTTAGATCTCTGATCCATCTAGAGTTGATTTCGGCCGAAAGCAGAAATAAGACACACCATTTTCCAGACGGATGCACAACTGACCCAGTGGAGGTTCAGGTTTATGGTCTTCATTATTGTAGCTGCACATGAGATCATGGTATCTGTAAGACAAATCCTTCACATCTGCTGCTCCTACGCAAGACCACCTTGACTGGTCTTGGTCATCTACCTTTTCATACAACTTTTCCATGGGTGCCCACAACCACACAGCCAATCAAACACACATCCTCACTTACACAAATACTGCTGTGATGCTGATTGGAACTTTGTGAATCTATACATTCATATAGGGATAACTGACATCATTGCAATAATATGTCTTTCACAGTAGGAACATTGTGTATCCCCCTATTTAGACTTTCTCTGCTGTATTTCAGTAACTTTTTAGACTGTACTAGAAGATTGAAACAGTTTTCGCTAGATTCATTCTTAAATATTTTATGATTTTTATGCTACTGTAAATATTTTAAAATTAAATTTCTATCTGTTTGTGATTGCTATTGAGACATGCATAGAAATCATACTATAGCAAGATCCTAGTGATCTTAAATCCATTTCTCAATTGTGCTAGTTTGTCTCAAGTTTCTTTCAGATATTCTTTCAGGTCCATATTTATGAATGTCCTATTTTTAAGTCAGCTACAGGTTATTTTTAAACATTTCAAAACATTTTCAACCCTGTGATTCTGTCAATTCATGAAAATCACTGACTCCTGACAGCCTCTTTGTGAAGTAGATATGAAGGCTTCCCCTATATAGTCATCATTTACTTTAAAATGTTCATTAGGTATCTCCACCACAGAGGACTTGAGTTCCTACTAGCGCTAGAAATAAAATAATTAGTAAAATAAATAGCTGACATCATTAAAGAACTTACAACGAATAAAATTAAATATAATAGATACAACGATGGGTGTGACACGGTGCCACGCCGGTGCATAAGAAAGCCCTCAGCTTATCTGTTATGGAACAGAGCTGGATTCAGGGCAGGCAGCAGGACAGAGAAGCTGCCTAGAAGAGCAGATCCTTCAGCCAAAAACTGAAAGAAGATCAGAAGCTGTACAGGTGAAGGGGAAGTGAAGAGTGTTCCAGGCAGAGGAAACAGGGTTGGAAATGGCGAAGTAGTGGAATCTTACAGTAATACCTCGGTTCATGGCTGGCAAACAGAAATGTTTCAGAATATTTTATGTTCGTTCATGAACTCCGAATTGGGTGATGAACAGAACAAACAGAACATGGCCATCTTCCCCAGAATCACAAAACAAATTCAGTTTGTGAACCAAGGTTCCACTGTATTATGTAAAAGGATGACAAAAAGGAATTTCAAATAAATGGTTGTTTACCTGGATGTATAAACTTGACATATGCTGCTTCATTACTATGGCCGTTCCTGGCCACACAGGTAAATGGGTGCAGATAGAACAGACTTCTGACTTCTGAAATATTAAGCATCACAATGACTATATCTTTGTTTTTGGCTAAAGAATTTTCCAAACTGTGTGAGAGAGGGAAAGAGATTGATTAAGTAATAGCATTGTAATTACATCAACTATGAATAAGACAGGTGTACCGGGTTTGTTTCTTTATATGGCACGTAAACTGCAGCTGAGATGACCACCTATACCGGTGTCAGACATAGCAATCAGACTGCTGGCAACACCAGTGTGAGACTGCAGAGCCCACAGAGCACTGTGAGTAAAGGACTCAGCAGTAAAGAAATTACGTTGAAATTAGCGACTGCCAAGAGGAAAAATAGCAGGGGGTAGCTTGGGGTAGGTGACAAAGGGCTTTGGTGAGATGGTGAGAAGGTGGGAATAGGTACAGATGTATAACAGGAAATTATTATTTGGCCCCAGCTACCTAGTCTTTTCAAAAGTACTTAAATAGCATGACAAGTAATTCAAGAGAATGGCTTCCTTGGAATGTTGCAACATGCATAACTGAATTTGAGAGAAAGTCTTCTAAGTGTACGGAATCTGCACCCCAGTAACACCTATTTTCACCTTAAATGTACAAGCTCTCACCGATCCTGTGTAGCATACTTAACAGAAATAAAAATGAGCAGCTAGGGGTTAGGAATAATCAACTGCGGTACACCCTCACTACCCAGGTTAGGTAAAAGCCTGACACAGAATTTAATACTGCAACTGATTGGTGTACTTACTAGTAATAGTCTTCTACCAGTAAAGGGTCGTCAGAGTCGATGAATGACCCATTCCACTTCCAGTAGACAGAGTCTGTGTAATGGCCTGTGACATTACAGATCAGCTGGATCTTGGATCCTGCAAAGCAATGTAGTTTTGTTGTTTGTTGGTTCGTTGGTTTTTTGGGGTTTTGTTTTTATTTTTTGTTTTTTGTTTTTGGTACCAGGGATCAAACTCAGGACTTTGTGATTGTAATACTGTTACGGAAGGAAATGGCAAGTGACACACAGAGAGGCAGCAGGACGGAAGTAAAATAAAAATGTTTACTCCATAGATGGGGATTGATGACACCTAAAGGTGGTGCCCTGATGGGCCCCCCATTGGGTTACAACTCCTTTTTTTATAGGGTTTTACAGCCTTGATCTTGGTTGGTTACACTGCATTTTCACACTTCACGTTGCTGATACCCAAAAGATGGTGGTGAGACAGTTGAATTTCAACCCGGATGCAGCTTTTGTTAGGAAAAGTTACCTTTAAGATTTATTCAGTTATCTATTCTAGCCAGGGGGAAGGGAGAGTGTTTGGTCAACAAAGCTAACAATGGTTCTTTTCACTTACAAAACTTTTGGGGGAGACTAAGTGCCTCTGGTGCCCAGTAACTCTGAACTAAGCAGAGTGAAGGGCAGAAGTTATCTTACATTGTGACATTTCCTAAGTTTTCCCTATCAATACAGGTATGCAGCCACTGAGCTAAATCCCCAGCCCTAAAAGCAATATATTTTTAATCAAAAGATTAATTGATTTTTATGCTGGCCTATCTGTATGACTAAATGGCTATTGAACAAAAGTTCTAATTATTAAAAGCTATAAGGAAAGAGAAAACAATGCCCTGAAACTTACCCCCACGCAGTAACTGCTATTAGGGACTTTCTCCATCTCATTCTTTATCTTCTCTGTGAACATAGCAGTTTTGTGAAGGGAATCTTATTGTCTATTATTTAAGAATTGCTGTGCATTGCGAATTTCTATCTCCATAATTAGTTCTTCAAAATTGGCTGTGTTGTGGCTATATGGTGTTTCATAACCTAGATATACTCTAACCATTTTCCTATTGTTAAACACTATTTGTATTTGATTTTTTGTTACTATGATTAATATCCCAAAGAACATCCTTGTTATTTATCAGTGTGTGTTTGTACATATTCTGGAGCATGACTGTGAGTAAAAATCTGGCAGGGGGACTGAATCAAAGAAACAGTCTTTAAAAGCCAAACCTCTGTCAAAGGAGGCTGCACCAGTCTGCTTACCCCAAAAGATTGTGCCAATTTTTAACTCCATTCATATTTTAACTAGAATCCTTTTGAACCTATGAATGAATTTTGTTCACAAATTCCAGGCATGGATAGATTTTTGCCAGGAGAGGCAAGAAAATCTAAAAATTAAAAAAAATTAAGATATAATTTTTGCTACTGTCCACTTCCATATAGATATATTCAGGAAATGGCTTACATTATGTGTAGTAAAGATGTGATTTGTCTTACTGTTGAGTTCAAAATAATGACTTCATGCCTTGCAACCATAAGGTCCCAAGTTTGATCCCCAGTACTACTACTACTATAATAATAATAATAATAATAATAATAATAATAACAATGGGACCAGGGATTTAGCTCAGTGGTTCTGCCGCCTGCCTGGCAAGCGCAAGGACCCAAGTTCGATCCCTGGTACCAAATAATGATGATGATGATGATTTCAGCCTCACTTGATGGAGCCCACTTACCCAAGTTCACTTCCACAGTCTCGTTCTTGGGACTCACAATCACAGGTCTGTCTGGCTTGTTTTCCTCTGAAAGAAAAACACCCATGGGGTTCTCAGTCTTCTGCCGATCAAAATCACAGGGATGATGACGCTTAGCAAAATACAGGCAATGGCTCTGGCCACATGGTCACTCCAGTGCTCAGAGAATCATAGCAGGAGACCGGAGGCCAGAGGAGGAGGGAAGCTGGCAGAGGTGACAGCCAAGAGTCGACACAGGATGCAAAGCTGGACACTTTGGGCCTGCGGGGCAGATTCTGCAGCACACATTCACATGCACAGGTACACACACACACACACACACACAAGCACACTCATGGGTGTGCACATATCTTCGGGACACTGTATGAAGTCAGGAAGGTGATTAGCCATGGTAAAACCAGTCAGTGCCAGACCTGTCTGGAATTAGTGACTCAACTAAAATTGATATGGTCATTGACATCATTTATTAAAACAGGCAGATCATCAAGAGGCCTAGAAATTAATCTGAGCCTTCCTATAGGAAGATTACCCTTCACCTTTGACCTGTGGCCAAGAGGAAACTAGGAGAAATGACAAAGTTGAATGCCTAGTCAAATAAATAAGCAAAGTCCACAAAGACAGGCTATTATGTTTTTTTTTTCTTTTCTTTCCTAAACCATACTTAGAACAGTTCCTGGCACACAACAGATGCTCAACAAATATTTTTAAATCTAGAAACGAACAAAAAGCATTCAGGACCATTGAGGTGGGCTTGGGGAAAAAACAAAATACTCCCTTACCTTTAAGCATATTTGTTTCTAAAAACTGGAATCAAAAAAGGAGACAGAGTAGTCAAGCTAATTAATCTGCTTAAAAATGGCAGTGCCCAATTTTCCCCAGAGCTCCACCTCCTAGTCTGGTAGTTGTGTCTCAGGAGAGAGAACACAGAGTCACACAGTAACTGGGGCAGCTGCTGCAAATGCTACAGTAATTGTGATCCAAAGGCCATCGGAAGTTAGGATAGCCGATGCTTTTAAGAGCAAGCAATGCTTTTAATGTCTATTCAATAAAATTAATCAGTGAAGGCCAGAGATTTAGCTCAGTGGTGCCACTGCCTGCCTCACAAGAGCAAAGTCCTGAGTTCAATCCCTAGTACAAGAAAATAAAGCACAAAATCTGAAATTAATCAGTGAAAAAGAAATTATCATAGCATTGGGAAAAAATATAGCTATATCGTGATCATATTCTGGACTTGCTGGGGTAGTCCCAATTTAAACACATTCTCCTGGCTTAATTACTAATAGACAGCTCTTTTACTTGCAAGAAAAGTCCTTCTTAGATGAACTCTTCTTATGTTATTTAAAGCTGACATCTATGAAAAGGTTGAATATTCTGCCCATCCCAGGCACTTTGTAGAAGTGCATTTTGCTTTGTTCTGTTGTAAATCGTTTTTAATATGAAACACGGTTAATGCCAAAATGAAAGACTTCGAAGAATTAAGAACCATCATCGTATACCTATCAGTGACTTGAATGTTTTGCACCAAGCACTCTGCACACATGACCATATGCTGAGTACTTCCTGAATGCTGATCTTCTCAATGACCTGGGGGGAGGGGAGGGTCTGTAGCATCTTCCTAGGGAGGAGGAAACAGCCACACAGAGGTGAAGTAACTGTGCTATCACAGTGCAAACAGGAGGTGGAATGCAGGAGTGTAAGTCAGCCCAAAGCCAGTCCGAGGCATCCGACCTATTCAGGCCGAGGACTCTCACTGGGACACTCAGTGCAAGCTCTCACGACATTTCCAAGTAGCGACCAGAGGGGGCGCCAGAGCTCTTGGAAGCAGAATCTCTAGCCATGTCAACAAGCATCCTAGATCAGATCAGACACATAGCTCAGGAAGTCTCTGTTTAATCCGCACTGGGCATCTTGCAAGAATGAAAAAATATTTACATTCTATGCAGTAACAAGAAGCTAAACTAAGGGACTGGGTGGTTATGGAGTACTTGAGCTTCCTTGGGTTTGGTTCCTCCATGGGCCGTGGCGGTCATCATAAAATCTCGGACTCTTGAGTCCCCAGGGTTGGAGCCAGGACTCACCGAAAGGAAGGAACTGTATTGTCCGTGTGATGTGATACCGCTTCCCCAGGTACGTGTAGGGCGCATGGCAGGTATAGTTCCCTCTGTGCTCCGGAGCCACGTTCTTCACAAGCAGTGTATTTAGGACTCCAATGAAGTGTGCATCGTCGAGAAGTAGAGGTTTGCAATCCTAAGAAGCGGAGAGAAGGAAAGCAGTCAATCTACCTATTAACAAATTTGAATTTTCAAAAAGTGACTGAAGCCAGGGATTTAGCTCAGTGGCGCAGCACCCGCCTCTCAAGCACAAGGTCCTGAGTTCAATCACCAGTACCGGGGAAAAAAAGTGACTGAAATGGTTCCTTGAATAAAGTAAGTTTTGTTATTACATTTCTTTTAGGGAGGCAAGGGTGGAAAAGTTCATTATATTCCTGTGATACTGAATCTTTATTCCCAGAGCCTCATGCAAGTGAAGACAAGTTTATTTTGCAAGAAGAGCATACTTGAGGAAAAACATGTTTTGACACTGTAGTTTCTTATAAATGCTGCACTTCCTTTCTTCATTGTTATTATTTATTTTTATATTTCCCAATCCCTGAAAGATTATTCCCCATTTAAGTTCCAACACACAAAAAAAAACCACTATTTTATTTGCTTGGAAAATTATGCCATATTTAAAATAAAATTACCTTAAACCACTTTACTTCAGGGAACTCATTCTTTTCATCTTTTAAAAAACTCAAATGAGGGCACACAAGTCTTCCATCTCTTGAAATGGGTAGTTTCTGTGTAAATAGAACTTGTGCACTGTAACACAAGTTAGGCTCATTCTCCATAAAATGTGCAGTTATTTTAATTTTGAGGCAGTAAGTTGAATTTCTAAAACAAAGCAAAATAGGAAATTAAACACTCTTAAAAGATTTTTGCATCCTTAACTACCATAGGTACTTAGAACACACATGTATAATGTATTAATTTCCTTCTTACCTTACAGCACAGTAATACTGTCCTGAATCCTCTACTTTAGCAGGAACAAACCAAAGCTTTTCTTTCTGCTGATTAATCCTGCAGTTTTGATCCATACATATAGGCGTCTTGCTGTCATTTTTATACCAAATCACAGGACCTAAGTTTTCATTTGAGTTAAGATTACAGGCAACAACAGCAATTTCATTTGCAGATGAAGCTAAAATTATTCGATCTTCACGCTCAGCACATTTATCTTTAAAAGGCAAAAAGGGGAAGCAATTTTTGTAAAACTTTTTCAACGCTTCTTAATGTAATACCTACAGATAAATATATCTATTATTAAGTACATCATATATATATATATATATGCTAAAGAGTAACAATCTGGGAGTCTAGAAAATGTACCTTCAACATAGTCAGGGTCTAGCTGAAGGGAGCTGAGTTGGGAATGTGAAGGGTTGGCAAGGCAAAGGCCAAAAGGTTGGCACTGCACATAGAGAGAGGGCTTGTAGATGTACAGAAAGTCCCCTGGCATTGTCAGCTGAGTAGCAATCAATGGAAGAATGCAAGAAAACTGCCCAAGGCCAGAGTGAGAACTGCACAAGGATGATGAGGAATAATGCCTACAACAGACATAATGCTGGAAACAGCCGCTGCTTCCATAGCCTGAAGGGAAACTCTCCTTAATCATGGGGCAACAGGAAGAGTACCCAGAAAAGTTCTGCCTTAAAGCCAGCCAACCATGGTCTGAAAAACATGTGCCAAAATGAATCCCTCCTTCTTCCAGTTGTGGGCATTGGATATTTCCATTCTAGTGATGAAAAAGTGACTAAGACATACTGTACCACAAAAAAGAAAAGACAAGAAATTTTAAAAAGACTGGCATTTTTTTCAAAATGAAAGGCTTGCAATAATTTTAAAAAAAACATTTATTTAAAACAAAACAAAACAAAATCTGCCAAATCAAAGAACAGCTGGGTGGATGTTTTTTTTTTTAATTCAACTATTCCTATGCCTCAGATCCGGTCATGAAATCCAGGAGCTTGGCAAACACGGTGGCTATTAAAACCAGCAGCCCTGCAAGATCAGATGAAGTCTGGATCTCCTCAAAAAGTTTCACTCCTGGACCAATAACAATCTTGCCCCTGACTGGTAATTCCTGGAAGTGACACTCAGAGACTTGTATTATTGACCTGATTCAGAGCCACACAAGAGAATTCTTATCCATAAGGACATAGCCATAGCCCATAGGAGACTTAAAGAGCTCTCACACACTCCTGACGGTGTAGCAGGGCTGTTCACACCCTCAGGACAGAGCAGAGGAAGCACCAGGCTCTTGTGTCTAAATAACGCTGGGGTCCCAAGCAGGAAGTAGAGGCCGAGGAACACTTGGCCACAGCCTAAGTGTTGAAAGCATGCCCTGGACACCCACAGCCTCCCAGCAAGGGGCAGAAAACCACAGAATTTAGGGAAATCTCTGGATGATCATGAGCTGACCATTAAATTAACCCAGCAGTGACTTCAGGAGCAACATACTGAAGGAAACACAGGCTACACGAGATTAGCCCAGGAAAGCAGTGACATAAATGGACAAAAGTTGCAGGAACACAACAATTTAAAAACCAACAATAAAAACAAACCTTGGGCTTGTATAGGAGGGTATATGATTCCTAGAGTCAAATTTTATTCTACCTAGAGCATCCAATTTTCAACAAAATATTATAAAACATAAAAAAATAGGAAAGTATGGCCCACACATAAAAGGAAAAAAGCTGCCAATAAAAATTGTACCGGAGGAGCCCAATTGATATTACACATAGACTTTTAAATGGCTAATAAAAATATGTCCTAACTACTGGAAAAAAAACACTACATCTGAAGGATTAATGTAGAGTGTCAGTAGAAAAAGACAGAAATCACCAAAGAAAACCAAGTAGAAATTCTGCAGTGGAAATGTCCAATAACTAAAGTGAAAAATTTCACTAAAGGAGCTCAGTAGCAAATGTGAGCTGCAGAGGAAAGAAACTTCTGGTGGACATGAAGATTGGTCACCTGGTTATGGGAATACTAGTCAATCTTAAAACAAGAACACAAAGCAGAGACTCATGGGGCTTCACGGAGTCTGCCAATAGATAAAGATGCAGAATAGAGTCCCAGGAAAAGGGAGGAGGGGGGGAGGGGGAGGGGAAGGAGGAGGAGGAGGAGGAGGGAGAGAGAATATCAGTAAAAAAAAAAAACTGAAGAAATATTCAAATATTTCCCAAATTTGATGAAGACATTAGTCTACCCATCCAAGAAGCTCAAGGAACAAGTAAGATAAGTAAAAGAAATACACCTGTAGGTGCATCATAGTGGAATTACAGAAAGATAGAATTTTTAAAAGAGCAAGAGATAAATGTCTCAAAACACACAGGGTGTCTTCAATAAGGCTGACAATCAGCTCTCAGAAGCCACAGAGGCGAGAGATACTGGCAGGACGTAATGACCACGCTGAAAGTAGACAGCCAATAAAGAACTCTATAGCTGGAGAAACTATACAAAACTGAAGAAAAAATAAAGACACAGATAAACCACAATTAAGATAATTCTTCAGGATGTAAGGGTGAGCTGGCTGCAGCATCTGTCACCCCATTAATTGCAAGGGTTGATCCGGCTGATCTGGCTAGCTAGGCAGGTGTCCCCTTCCTCCCTCACCACTCCATGTGAGCCCCTCCAGAAGGTGCACACTTGGTCAAAGAGTATGACCACCTCCGATAGACAAGGACCATTTCCTCGGTCAAGGGTATATGAGTAGCTGCACTTCCTTGCTGGAACCTCCAAACAAGCTCTCAAGATAATCCTTCATAATCAGACTTGCTCTATAAAAAAAGTGACTGAGAGTCTTTAAGTTGAGATAAAAGAATCTAAGCCAAGCACCCTTGCAATCCTAGCACTTGGGAGGCTGAGGCAAGCTGATCACTACAAGTTTGAGGCCAGCCTAGGCTACATAGAACCTTTCAGACAAGCCTGAACTAGTGAAATCCTGTCTCACAGAGCCCAAAAATGGGGAAGAAGATAAAAGAACCTAGGCAATAACTCAAATCCACATAAAGAAATAAGAAATACCAGTAAACATAAGTAAACAAAACTATGTAAGTAAATATATTCTAAAATACAAATAGCCACATTAGAAAGTTCAATATCAGCAAAATTAAAATTAAAACCATAATCACGTACCACCACACACCCATTAGAAGTATTAAAGTGGAAAAAGATAGACTCTAGCAACTGTTGGTTAAGGGTGTGGAGAAACTGGAACCTTCCATTTCTGGTGAAGATATCAAGTGACACAACCTTAACAACTTCTGCTATTTTCTAAAAAAATTTTCTATGCATCCTCCAAATGCCCAAGCAGCTCCATTCCTGGGTATCTTTCCAAAGGTGTGGAAGCATACATCCATCCAAAGACTTGTACACCAATATTCTTAATATCTCTATTTTAACTGCCAAACTTGAGAGAGTCAAAATGTCCACGAACATATCAATATATACCCACACAACAGAAATTACTAAGTAATTCAATAATCAATTGTGATTATATAGAAAGAAACTAGACTCCTCTCCCTCAAAGAGTACATAATGTATAACCCACTTATTTAAGATTCAAGAGGACACAAGCAAGCTACAGCTCCAGAAGTGGATCAGCAGTTGCCTGGGGATGAGGGGTGGGAACAGAGGAGGAGAAGGATCTTAAAGGGACAAAAGGAAACTAGAGGACCATGGCATCTGCTGCCACAACTATGGTTATGGCCACAGGATATCTGTGCCATTCACACTTCCAGTTGTGCACTTTGAACATGCGTGGTTACCATGCATCAGTTGTGCTTCCATAATTGTTACACTTTGAGTGTAATCGAAAGAGTGCAATCAAAGCGGCTGGGAACTTAGCATGGTGCCCACACAGACTCAGGACACATAATGCTTAGCTGCCAGGAGGGGTCACAGCAACAGCAGTGATGAGAACAGTAAACTCCAGGTAAGTGCTCAGTGAGGCTACTCTTGTGTGTTCTGACCAACATCACCCATGACCACAGTGCACTCAGATAAACGACTCTCAGGCAGCATCTGACCTGCATGTCAGTATCTATCTGACAGGTACCTAGGAGCACACGGGCACCCTTGAAACCCTTCTTCATTTGGCTTTCGAGATGTGTGTCTGGGTCTTACATCTCCTCCTGGTTCTCTGACCAGTGGACGCCTGACCATATGCCCAGTCCTGGAAGTCGTCATCCTTTCTCTCTACACTCAGTGACCACTCTGTCTCCTGTTCTCCTGCCCACTGCTGGCTGATGTCACCAACTGTACACAGGGTCACTGTATAGATACCCAAGGGGCAGCAGAACTTGACTTGTCCACAGCGAAAGCCTGCCCCTCCCTGACCCCACAGCCACAATGTTACCTTCTGTCTGCAAAGGCCAAAGGCCTGGGAGTCATCCTCAACTTTCTCCTGCCCCTCACCCCTCACATCGTGCCCATCTATAAATCCCCAAGGGCTCCATCTTCACAGTCCACCCCAAACCTGATGCCTTGTGGTTTCTCCTTCCTTGCCTTCTGCGGACAAGCCATCATCATTTCCTGCTCAGAACCTGTCACTGTCAGAATTTGTGTTTTTGCTGTTGTTGTTTTGTTTTTTTGAGACAGGGTCTCACTGTGTAGTTGAGACTGACCTGGAACTCACTGTGTAGACCAGGCTGGTCTCGAACTCACAGCAATTCTCCTGCCTCAGCCTCCTGAGTGATGGGATTACAGGCATGTGCACCACCACACCAGGCTACTTGTGTGAGTTTTTGCAAGAGTTTCTGCACAGGCCTCTGTGTCTGCCCTCGCCTTCCTAGAGCCTATTCTCAAAGCAGGAACCAAAACGATCCTGTGTGTGGGAGTAGAAGTCAGATCTCCTTTCTGGTTTTGAATGAAGAAGCCGTGTAGCTTTCTCATCCGAGTCAAACTAGAAGCCAAGATCCTCGGAAAGTTCTGCAGGGCTCTAAGTGAGCCCTTCACCATGCTGGAAGTTTAGTTCCTAGAACAACCCAAGTGTGCTTGGCCTCAAGCCTTTGCACTTGCTCCCTATGATATTTCTACCCCTCAGCCTGGGACCTGTATTGCTCCCTCTTCTTCTGTTTCAGGTTCAACTCAAAAGTCAGCTTTTCACTGAGGCCACACTATTAGCAATTTTATCTTCTGTGTGCTCCACTCCCGAAATTGTACACCTTGCTTTCCGGTTGCTCTCCTCCTTAAGCTCATCATCACGTGACATACTGTGACATCCGTTCACTTATCTAATGGATTATGTTCCTGACACAGGAATGTAAACACCTGCAGGTGAAAATCTCTGCCTGGATTATTGACTGTTTTGTCCCCAGCACCCAGTACCTGGCACAAGGCAAATATGTAGTAAGGGATGGAGAAGGGAGAAAAAAATGAAGACATAGAGAAGACAAAACAGTGTCCTGAAAGTGTCTAGCTGTGGGTTCACAGACCGCATTGTCACTTTTCAATAAAAGTAAAGTGGGAAGAGCCCGGATTACACCTTAGAGACCCAGACCTGAGCCCTGGCTCTAACATTAGTACATGACCCTGGTGTCTGGACCTCAGTTTCCCAATCTGCAAGTGAGAGGCTGAGAGGGGAAGATGCTAAAGGAACTTCAAGCTACACAGTTTTATGACCAGGGTCTCTGCGTCCTGGGAGTCAGCTGAGACTGGTAAGAAAAGCAACCCTGCCGAGAAGGTATTTCCTGCATTCTGGATCACAGCTTTTCTCAGATGAGACGTTTAACTTACCAGCCTCCAAAGACATCAGCAGCACCATGAAACAGACAACTCTGAGTGACACTTTCATATTCTCCTGGAGAAATGGAGGGATGGAAAAAAGACAAAGATGTGACTATTCAACCAATCCCTACAGCCGAATTCACTGATACCAACTGCCTCAGCATCCCCAAGTCACACCAGTGGACCAGTCTTCCCACAGTGTTACTGAAATCGTGTGGGGACTCCAGTTAGAAAATGGAGGGTAAGGGAGATGGATGATTTCTTACAGAATTGAGGACAACTCTGCAACTTAAGACTTTAACAATTTCCGCACCATGTGTCCCAATATACGTTTTTAGACTCACCTCCTGCTTAAATTCCCCCAAAATTAGTCCTTAACCAATGAAAACTGGCAGGCACACTTTTCTGGGACTTTCCCCAACATCTAGAATAAGCATGCATGAATCTCTTTCACAAAGTAGACTCCAACCGGCTTCCCATCCCAGTGGGCTCCACATCTGCAGATCCAACCCAACTGCAGGTCTAAAATATTGAGAAAAATTATTTCTGTGCTGAACATGTGAAAACTTTTTTTGGTCATCATTCTCCAAACAATACAATAAAATACCATTATTTTCATGGCATTTACATTATATTAGGTATCACAGGGAATCTGGAGGTGATTTAAAGAAGGTGGGAAAATGTGTGTAACACTACACAATTTTATCTAAGGGAACTGAAATCCGTGGATTGTGGTAAGTGTGGGTGTCCTGGGACAGAAGCCCAGTAGACACTAAGAGACAGCTGTTTTCCCTCGACCTAAACCAGCTCACCTCCATCAGTGTGGCCTGATTTCCCATCTGGAGCGCCTCCTGCTGACCAGGACCCCTCGCAAAAGTCTTCCCATACTTCTACATCCACTCCCAGGTTATGCCTTCTTTTTTATCATACAAGATCCTAAATCATTTGCACAATATAATATAGTTACATAGAAAAGCCCCTGAAAGGACCAAAAGAAATCCTAATATAATAAAATGGAGTTGGCCTTTGTGTTTGGGTGGATTCACCCTTCCCTGGGGCATTTTACATTTTCCCAAACATTTGGCATAAGCAGGCACAAATCTTCACAAAGGAAATGCTCCACTGCTCCTCCGAGCGCTTGCAAAGGCCATAAAAGCACAGCAGCAGTGTCCACAGGTCCTTCTCAGTGAGGGTCTGCACAGTAACCTGAGGTCCTGGACATGGGGCATCTTGGTTATCCAAGGATCTGTCCCCACCTGGCAAGAGGTATGACGGGATCAGGGTCCAGCCAAAGACAGCAGGTCAAGAGTATGCCCATTGCTTTCTCCTCAAGATGGAGCCACTAAAATAAAAACACCTCAATGTTGCCTGCCTTTCTAAACCTCTCGGGCCCAAATGAAGTCACTGTTCACCGTAGCCTCCAAAAGGAAAAAATCTCTGAATGCTCCTATTTCATGCTCCTGAAGGGAGCCTGACCAGAACACAGAAAGTTTCAACCTTGAGTCTCCACCGAGCTTTTGCACAAAACCACTTGAGGTCCACAAGTACCTCAAACTCAATGGGATTCAAAAACTCAAACTCATGCTTGCCCCAGAAAGCATAATTCACCAGTGCTCCTCAGCTTGGTAACAAGCACAGCTCCACACCTACTGGGCAGGCACTTAAGGGAGACCTGGACTGAGGCTCCTGTGGCTGCCACTGCCAGTCTCCTCTCCCCAAACCCTCATCTGTCTGTGTCCTTAGACCATCAGTGCCACCTAGTGCCCTTACAGCTACAGGTGGTGCCACTGTACCTCAGCCGTCTCCAGCTCCGGTCTGGCTTCCTCGTGGCCTCAGGCTCCTCCTGGTCCTCTCTATGCATGACTTTACAATCCAGGGAGCCTTGAGCTCTGTCACCAAATGATTCAGTCCCTGCTCCCTAGCAAAGCCTGTGGGTGTCCTGTTCTGGTCTCTCCCTCCCCTCTGCCCCCAGCACCCCCCAGGCTCCAGCCTCTCAGGCTTGGCCGCCCCTCACTCTCCCTCTGCTCACTGCCTAGCTTCTTCCCCTCCACCAGACTCCTCCTAAGCCTTTGTCTGGGCCCCCAGCAACCAGCTCTGTCCCCACAGCATCCAGTTCCCTGCTTGGAACCCAGAGGCTCTTTAAAAAAGTCCCAAAGGACCAAATGGGACAAAGAACAAACGAAACAGCTGAGCCTCCACTCAACTTTGGGACAATGTCCTACAGGACTAGAACTGCAGTTTTTGGACCAGAACACTGTGCTCAAAAAGTAATCTGCCTTTTGATTTCTACAGGATATTAAATTTACCTGTATCTTTATATGTACCCAAGGTACACATAAACCGTTGTAACTAAGATGACACCCCTTCAGACTACCGAGAGGTGATCATTTCACTATTAGCTGGAAAATGTTCAGTTTAAGGAATTTTATTAAAAGGTATGAACATGCTACAAGGTGCTTTTAAACAAATAATAGGGGAAGTTCTTTTTGTTTTGGCCGTCCTAGGGAATAAACCTATGCCTTCACACTGAGCTACCTCCCTAGACCTTTTGATTTATTTTTTTATTTTGAGACAGGGCCTTGCTGGGTCACTAACTTGTGCAGGCTGACCTCAAACTTTTGATCCTCCTGCCTTAGCACCCCAAGCAATATTTTAGGCATTGGAGATACCTCATTTGTATTCTCATCGCTTTATCCCCAGTGTCAGGACAGCCTGGAGTCCTGCCTCCGAGCCTTAAAACTGACTCGCTTCAACAACCCGCAGCCCTCACACTTGGTTCAAGTCAATGGGCCCTCGCCCCAATTGGTCTATGTTAATATATTACTAGTGCATTTACTTTAAAACATATTCAAATTGTGGAATAAGAAAGAAGGTGTTGAAGTCATGTAGCCTGGCTTATTCCCTCTTCCTATCTTTAGGAGAGGGAGGAAGGGAAGAAAGGGTTAAAATACTTCCCGGTTACCAGATCCTGGCCAACCACCCACTCTCCTCTCACTCTGGCTCATAACAGCAGGGCAGGCGGTGATGAAATCACTCAAAGGCAGCTGTCCGCACACAAGTGCAAGCCCTGGCTTGCTTCGAAGGCAGGACTCCACTCGGAAAGGGAGTGGAAGGGCGCCTCGGGGCCTGCCCCAGACTAAAGACAGACAAACGGCCTTAACCATCCAGGTCAAGGCCAGGGCGTCCACACAGGGAAGGCCATCTTGGATGTGACCCCTCCCTGGCCTTCAGTTTCCCCCTCAGACCACTTCCTGCTCCAACAGCCTCTAAAACAGGGGTCTGGGTTTCATTCTTGCCCCCAAACTGCCTGGAAAAAAACAGGAGGTAGGAGCAACCCCTTCTCCTAGCAGCAGCCCTTCCGGCAGTTTTGTTTTGTTTTTTAATTTCTGTTTTTATTAATGCATATTTGCTCCACATAAATGGTCAAACTCCACATGTGAAGCTGGTACATGGACCTAACACATCGCAGCTGTTCTTGTACCCCCCCTTCCCCCTCCCTCCTTCTCTGGGACTCCTTCCCATTTGTGTAAGATCTATCTCCCCGCTTCCTATTATCTGTCTTTTATTTGGCTCTCTATTTATACTTCGGGTTTCTCATGTAAGAGAAAATATTTAAGCTTACGCACCTAATGTACTTCACTTAACACTAGGGTCTCAAGGGGCATCCATTTTCCTACAAAAGATTCAAGTTTGCACTCTATGGCAGAGTAGTGCTCCACTGTGTATAAATACTACATTTTATTTATCTATTCATCCAGAGATGGGCACAGGGGTGACTTCCAAGATTCAGCTACTATGAATTGTAGCAGCAGCCTTTCTGGATTGGTATTTGTGCCCAGGACCCTCCAGGAAGGGATCGGCTCTGAGCTGGAGACAGGCATGAAGGCCACAGCCCCCCAGGGAGGGAGGGCAGCAGAAAGGGAAGAGGTAAAGAATGTACTCAAGACTAACCCAAAGGGCTTTCCATAAAACCCAATATGCCCTCAAATAACCCTCAAAATCCTGCCATGTCCTCAAATAACCAGGAATCCCAGCACAGAGCTGGTCCCACATACCCTTCACAACACCAGATGCTGAAAGACCACCCAAATCGGGCTGTTCCCAAAGGCATGTGGTTTAAAGCTCAGCCCCTGTGCCTCAGTTTTCCATGTGATAAAGTGGGCATGACTGTGGCACTGTCCCTGACACTTGCCATAAGGATGACATACACAGAAGGCATAGGACCTGCAGTGTCCGGCCCAGGGGTCCTCTGCTGTCAGCTGTCACAATAAACAGAAGCTTTGATAAAATGTTCTCAGCTGCCTGTGCATGAACGATGCACACTAAGCTTGTCCAGTCTGGGAATGGTGGCCCAGAAAGCAGGCGTAGTGACCCAGGGCCCAGCGTGAGGGACACCAGGACAGAAGGACAATCGAGCAAGGCAGTGCCCAGAAGGCAGCTGGAGAGGCCTGCACTCAGAGCCCTTGGGGTGAGGAGCTGGGTCGTCAGGGACCCACAGGACCCCAGAAGATGGTCGGAGGGGGTCTCCAAAGCACTACCAGGCCAGGTCTCCTGGGATGAGGCCAAAAGAGCCATCCTCAACAGAAATCAGGACTCTGATCAATGTCACTTAATAATTTTTATAAACAGCATCTTTATAAACAGTGAAGGGTATGGGACAGGGACAGTAAGAACCAGAACGTGCCGAGATCAGAGGGTGACTGACTCTGCCTAGGGGACCCCATGTCACAAATCACAGCAGCATCACTCCACTCAGGGGACCCAGGGGCCGCAGTCTCCTTCACAGGTCTGGTCAGTCCTTCCCCTCTGTCCCCTCCCTTCATAGACTCCAGTGACCATCACCATCCTGTTCTTCTCTGCCGTCAACTCCTTCAGCTCTCACGGAGGACTAAGATCACAGGGTACTTGTCTCTCTACCTCAGGGTTCTTGCACTAAGCAACCTGTGCCCTGGCTCTATCCAGGTTGTACCCAAATGACAGGACCCCACAAATAGGTACAAATCCCAGGTGTCAACTTAAAAATAAAAGTAAATCTGATAAAACCACAGAGCTGCCCCCAAAGAAAAATACGCCAATAAATACCAAATATTCCATCCTACAGTGGGAGACATCTCACCTGGAGCTGAGGATGGGGGTATCCGCTGCTGATGAGAACAGGCTGAGTGGAGTGGGGTCAGGCAACCCAGCTCTGTGTTCTATGCCAAGGGGTCGTGCTTCTCAGGAGGGCGTCACCATCTTTAGGGGCCGTGTCCACCTGGAAAGGAAGAGCACAGGGTGAAGTTGGGTGACCAGGCTGCATGTCACACACTCAAGACCCCAAGGAGGTGGAGGTGGTGGACACACTCACTGACCTGAGTCCTAAGTATAAAAGGCCCACGTCCCACAGTCCTTTAGGACAGAACACTTTTGGGAAATCAAGTCATAAGCATGGAGAACAGAAACAGCTTGACAACCACAAGCTATTTTGGCTTTAACACATACACCTAGCACTTGGCCAGATCCAAATGATGCCAACTCATTCTGTAGCTATCACCGCTCAGCACACATGGCAATCAGAGTTCAGGCTTTTCCAGCAGCCAGAACCAAAGAACAAGACCCTTTCCAGACAAGCAAATTCACTGAGCCCTAGTGCTCCCTCTTGCCGTGCACATTAACAAACCTGCACCCCAGGTTAAGTGGTTTAAAATGACCTCAACACAGCTCACAGCGCTGCTCTGCTGCCGTACCCCGTACACACCCCACTATTATCCACCTGTTTATGAAGCCTTCTCTCAGTGTTTGGAGTGCAGCATTTTTCATGTCTGAGTCATTTCCTTGGGGCCAATTACATGCCTGCCAGGTGGCCACACAAGGCCTAGAGATGCCCATTGGGAGGCTGACTTGGGTGAACTTAAACCCAGTTTGTTCTGAGCTCAGACCCTGAGACAGCATGAAGCATGGAAGGAGGTTGTCCGGCTCCCAGCTCAGCAGCACCAATCACGTTACAGTACAGAGTTCCCAGCCTGAGGATGGGGCCTTCCTGGTCCCCAGGAGAGGGCTCAGAAATGACGACAGGAAGGGGGTCCCAGAGAGGAAAGTCAGTGGTAAGAGACAGAGGGGAGCAGGGGAGGATGATGGAGGGAGGTGGCTTTATTCAGAAGGTCCCGGAACCTGTTGCACAGACATCAACTTCCTGTTACTGCCTTCCCACCTGCACCACTTTCCCTCTTTCTTTCTGCAGAAACAGGAGGATGGCAGTTCAAATTCAGCCTAGGCAACTTAACAATTCAGTAAGGCCTGTCTCAAAATACAAAATAAAAAGAGCTGGAGCTACAGCTCAGTGCAAAGTCCCTCGCTCAATCCCCAGGGCAGACAAAGTGAAACAATGTCACTTAATAATTTTTATAAACAGCATCTCCACTTCTTATCCATATCTGAACCACACTACTGTCTGCCTTCGGTACCCACTTCCTCTGAAATTCACAGCCCAGGCCCCTGCCCTCCCAGTCTCTCCACCTAACTTCATACCTCGAAACATCTGGCCAGAAGAGGAGGGTCCCAGCCTTAGGCTGCAGGCACAGCCGCCCTGCCCTGCACCGTCTCTGTCCACCTCTGCCAAGCTTCATTGGATGGCGCCTGGGACTCCAACCTGCTCTGAGCTGGGTCTGAGCAGAACCTTCTCCTGGGGCCCCTGCAGATGAGGCACACAGGGTCTCTGACCAAGGTGCATAAGGGCCTGACTTCCAGTTCTGTGACCCCAGGCTATAGTGGCATTGGGGGCTCCTGTAGGGGCCGCGGAAGCTCATGAGGCAGGCAGACCCTCCCCTTTCTCACACCCATGCCAGGGGGCTCATCATACACATCTTGAGGTTGCAGGAGCATAATGCACACTATGAAAGACAGGACAAGGAGGGAAGGTGGGGGAAGAAATCCAACACCTATCTGTGAATGGAGAGGAAGCAATAGGGGTCTGGGTATGGTTCAGAGAACAAGAATGCAGAAGAGGCCACAGCTGCAGACTGAGAGCTGTGGGTGGCGAGGACACAAGGCAAAAAAAACTCCTAATTGAGTGGTAACTGAACCTGTCCAGTGGGCATTTAAAAAATAGTTTAGAGTAAAATTCAAGTTATACCTTTAGGAAATACCAGCAACAATAAAAAGTCCTAGATTTCATCCCCTGTGTTATTTTCAGACTGAAGTTTTCATACAAAATAGAACGACAGAGACAAAAAGGAGGAATGCACCTGGGAAATTAGTAATCCTTCACACCCTGCTCCCTTCTTCCTTAGGTACAATGACGCCCACCCTGTGTGCGGACAAGATGCTGACGACCAGCTCCTGGGACAGTCGGCTGGGACCCCAGAAACCCAAAGTCTGGGGCCCCTCACTCCCATCCTCAGCAGCACTTTCCACCACTGTGGTGCTCCCCAACTTTATGTGGCAACACATGACAAAGCCAGCAGCCTGAAGAGGCCCCAGGCAGGGTCCCCAAGGTGCTCTGGTGGCCAGGACCCACCCAGGAACATGTATGTATCGCAACATGACAGCAACATCACATAGAACATACACAGCCTCGCTTATTAAACCGAAGATATGCATCTAAGGAATAGGGCACTGTCCTACCTGCAGTGGCTTGTATTTGGTGTGTTCCTTCCTAAAGTCACATTGACAACTGATTGCAACTGTGGCAGTGCTGGGGAACTGTGGCTTTAGAGGTGTTAGAGACAAATGCTTTTTTCACAAGACTGGGTCAGACTGCACGAGGGAGGTACTCTTTTGCGGAACCAGATTAGTAACCACGACAGGAGGTTTGTCTCCTCCACACACCCCTGCCTGCCCTTCCATGTATCTGCTGGATTATGAGACTTCACAAACCCTCACCAGATGCAGCCACCTGATTCTGGACTCCATCCTCCGGAACTGAGACCCATAAAACCCTCTTGTTTATACATTACCCACTCCGGAGTAGTTTGTTACAACAACAGAAAACAGACTAAGAACCTACAAGATCAGAATGAGAAACTTAAACAGTAACTAAGTTACACAACCAGAAATCAAGCAAATGAATTAACAATGAATATATGCAACCCCCACAAACCCTCTCTTGCCAGAAGGGCTCACTTCATCCTGCAGTGCCTCTCTTGAGCCCGGTGCAGGCTCAAAGTATAGGAAAAAATGGCTGGCAAGAGACCACCAACACCCAGGGCATTGCTGAAGGGGAAAGGGCATTTGTCACAGTTTGTGCCCATATTGCATCTATTAAACACCTTATTCCTGAGGAATTCCCAGCAATCTAGAGGAATTCCTTTCTTATTCCCAAGGAATTCCCCCACATTATGAATCCTGCCTTTCCAGCCAGAAGCACAGGCAGGGAAATACATCAGAGACACCCGGGGGACATCAGACCCCATGCAGGACCATGCCACGTAGGTACCTGACTGGGGGGACCAGGCACAGAGGCCCCCATGTGGGAAAGCTGATCCTAACACCCAGTGTCTGGTGTCCAAGCATGAGCTGCATCCCCAGGACCAGCACAGAGCAGTAGCTCCTGCTACACCCTGATACTTAACCTCCCAGGCTGGCTCTCAGCTCTGTGCCAACTCCTTCACAATAGCCATCCCTGCAAACCAGCGGGGTTTGGGGGGACCACCCAGGGAAGACCTCTGCAGAATCCTGGAACTGGAGCCCAGGCTTTCTGGGGAAGGAGCTCTAAGACTCCTAGGAAACTGAAACAGAGTTGGGGAGGGGGAGGCACTGGGGGCACAGGTCCCAGGACTCACAGAGTCCTTGCCATGCGAAGGGATATGGCTGCTTGACTGATGGGGTATGGCTCCCAAAGCACGGGGCATGGCTCTCTGGGACTGTCCCCCAAAGCCAAACCTCCGTAGAAATCCAAGAAGATGGAGGAGTGGACAGCTGGAGGGGCTTCTCCTCCTTCCAGGGACCTGCAGTAGCCAGGCCCACATCTGAAACGGACAAGGAAGTCTTAACCAAACTTAGCCCATTCTCTGCTATTGGAACAGGACGTCTAAAATGGGGTGATTTATAACAAACAGGAAGTTTCCTGCTCTGGGCTCTGGAGGCTGGGAAGGTTAAGATGGGCAGCAGCACAAGAGGGGCTTGAACTCATTCACATGACAACCCACATGGGCACATTCGGTCCATGCTGGAGGACAGAGCCTGAGAGCTACGCACCTCTAGTTCAGCCCCTGCTCCTAACAAAGTGATGCTGGGGGCTGATCCTCCATACACGTCCATATTTCCACCTTCTCCCAAGGCACTTTCCACCTTATCCCACCTTTCCACCATATCCCACATAGATGCAGTTACGGCAGAATCACAAATATTAATCAAGATATGTAGATTTTAATGTGATGGAGAAATACTCAGAGAATTCGGCTCCAACTTCTTGGTCATAACTGAGAAGTGGCTGTGGATGAGGAATGGGGAAAAGCAAGGGATAAAACGTGCTCATTCGCTTGTAAAATGGCACAGCCTCTACGTTCCACTGAAAGCCAGTGGAAAGGTGGGGAATAGGATGGTCCTGAGACTACATCTACAACTATGGTGCTCTCCTATTAACACGATCCATACATATATGTCCACCCACAGATGAAAGGATACAGAAAACATGGTGTTTACACACAGTGGAGCACTGCTCTGCCATTTAAGGACAAGCTTGGGTCATTTTTAGGGAAACAGAAGCACCTCGAGACCATAATAGTAAGTGAAATAAATCAGACACACAAGCTTAAACATTGCATAGTTTCTCAAGTATAAGGAGCAGGACAAAAGATAATGGGAAACAGGGAGACAGATCTTTCTCAAATGGAAAGGAGATCAAAACATAGAGTGGGGAGGGAGGAAGAAAGGGGGAAGGGGACATAGAATTAAGATGTGTCATTGTAAAGGTACAAGATCCCAATAATGAATGTAATTGTACTGTATATCTAAAATGTACCAATAAACTCAATAAAAGAAAAAAAAAGAGTTAAGATGTGTTATGTCCAGGTACCAAATCCCCACAATGAACATAATCATGATGTGCTGCAAATGTGGACTCATAAAATAAATAAATATAGCTAGAGAATAAATAAACTTTAAATGTCAAAAAACAAAAATGATCCATGAAGCTACTAATCAGTCTTAACATGCAGACCAAGTATGTCTGCTTCAAAGATGAGACTAAAAGAAACATACAAAGCCACAAAGCCACATGCTGGTAGAAAATGAATATTCTATACTTTCACAAGTCCTTGTTTGTTAAAGTAGAAT